CAAAGAACACTGGTAAGAATATTCTTGTGTAGCTTTCTGTATGGATGCGTGCTTTCCTTATTTCTTGAGTACATAAATACGTAGGTGTGGAATGGCCAGATTATGTGGTAGGACGATACTTAAAATGTTAACGCAATTGTCAAACTGTTTCCCAAAGTGGTTGTACCATCTTACATCCCCACCACTGCATGCAAGTTCCTAGTACTGGTACCATGTGATTTTCAGAATTCATAAGGAACTTAGTTCTATAGGAATATAGTCCGAGAAGCATACAGACAAATCACTCAGCTGTTTCCACAAGGGTGCAGGCCACAGCTACTCTCTTTAGTCTTGAAAATGATAAAGAGGAGTACTCTCAGAGGCGACCAGAAAACATGCTTACCTGATTGCCCTATGAGATCTCTGACTCTAGGGTAAAGTACAACTACTGGATAGCAGTAACAAGGTTCCTAAGGCAACCAAGATACTGATAGAGGAGATTGAGAGGAAAGCTCAGCGGTATCTTTTAGAAGATAAACAGTAACTATTTAATAACAGTAAGGTTGTTTGTCTTTGCTGTATTTCAACTACTGCTGGCATTTAGAGACTTTCTTCTGATAAAACAATATGAATGGTTTCGTATTAAATACTGAACTCATGTTTCAGAAGCATTTAGTTTAACATTTCCCTGAGCCTAACATTCTTATTGGAGTCCCTGGGTGTAGCAGGCTAAGCACTGACTTGGTAATGAACCCATCAGGCATCCTGGAGAAAGAGGAGGCTACTTCGTTCTTGTGAAGATTTGAAGTTTCAGAAGTCCCAAAAGGGCTGTTCGACTCTGTCCTATAGGGTTGCTATGAGTCGGAATCAATGCAATGGCAGAAATATTTTTGGTTTTGGTTTGGGTGCTGCAAAACATTTAAAAAGCTAACATGTCTATGTGCTACCTGAAAGGCTGGAGGGTCCCACCTGCCCAGAGGTGTCTCAGAAGAAAGGCCGAGAGACTTCTTTTTGAAAAGTCAGCCCTTTAAAACCCTGTGCAGCACAGTTCTACTCTGACACACTTGGGTTGACTGGTAACATTATTATATTGACAGTAGCAACAGAAATAGTAGTTATTGGCCTTGTCATTGAAATGAGAATATCAGATTGCTTTTCTTAGGTTTGAACTCTGGCTCTACTATTTATTACCTCTTCCCCATATCTCAGTTTCTCTTACCACAAAATAAACGTAATAGTAATATTTCACAGAATTGTTGCCAGGAATAAGACATTTAGAAGAATGCTTGGCCCAGAATAAGCATTTAACTAATGTTTGCTGCTACTACTGCAATGACAAAACTGATTTCTATACTTATGCTAGACTGTACACCAGATATTTGTTTCACTATCTGCTAGATCCCACATTAGTATCTGGCACAGAAAGAAGAAATTCAAGTAATGTCTGGTTGAATTATTATGCAACAAGGACTGGGATGAGTGTTACATACGTACTACTGTGGTTATGCCTCATATTAATGTTACAAAGTAAACACAACTAATATCCTTAATTTAAAAAATCCTTATTTTACTGATAGGAAAAAATAGACAAACTTAGAGCAAAAAACTTTCTAAGGTCACAAAGGACTTAGACTCTCAGATTTACGTGGTGTTCTTACGATTTCCTATTACATGCTGAATGTTAAAGAGGCTATATTTAAATATGACCCCTCACCCCCCCACTTAGACTCTGGAAAAATTTCTATTCAAACTGAATGCTGGGGAAAAACAGTCACATCTACACAACGAGTTGAGTCCCCAGTGGGTGCTCCCTTACCGTTGGCCCTGTTTGGCCCAGGACTTGAACTGGCAGCCCTCTTTGGGGTGGGCACTACTGGACGTTCGTCTCTGTGGTAAAAAAGAAAAAAAGTTAATGGCAATTTTTTGTTGTAATAGCCTTTGAGCCTATTGCTAATGATCTCATGTCTCAGGAGTTTTGTTGTGGGTGGGCCTCATTGGGTCTAGATACCCCTTGATACTACACTGTGATATTTTCAACAGTGTAACACTTCTTTACATGACCTCTCTTTGGGTTTCAGTCCAACACACTATCATGTTTCTCCCTCACACTGAGCGTATGGCACTGTTCACAATCTCCTCACAGTGTGTTGTGACTCAGATAACTACAAAGCTATCTAGACGCTTAAAGGACTTGACATTTCTTTTTCTTTCAGAGTATTTATAGCAAAAATCTAGGTAAATAATTTTTTTATTAAAATGATTGTATAAATAGTATGATGCAAAGTGAAAAGTAATAAAAAAGAAATCTGTCCTGAAGGTGTGTTGATTAAAAAAATACATATTGTAGTAAGAAAAAAAAAATCTATAGGGAAAGCGTGTGGCTTGGGTTATTTCTTCCAAATACTGTCATGCAATTGCTGGTCTTTATGGAAACACAGGTGCAGTCTCATTGTTGCTCACGCTTACAAGAGGGAGGGTGCCTGAGGTGTGCAGTGTTGGGTGAGGCAAATTGCCAAGACGCCCATCTGTTCTTGCTGGGTAGGCCGAGCCTGCAAAGCCGTTTGGAGGGTTGTGTTCCTACACAGAACCTGAGGGATGAAGTAACCTACTTCCCATCAGAAAAGCGGGCTTTGAAGACACAAACACAGAGGAGCACACATTGACAAA